TTTAGCATCCAATTAAATGCCTGCAAAAGGTCATGCCTCTTTGACCTAGTTAGTCTCTAAAGTGCTACCCTCCCTGATTTCTATCTATTCATATACTCTAAAGCAAGGTGGTGCAGTAGAATGTGCACTTCTTTCCCCTTCACAGGTCAAAAAATCCATTGCGTTAAAGAGCTGTTATTTCCTATACCTTGGCTGGAGTCAACACCCTGTACAATGGTTTACAATTAAATAGCTTTAGGCATCTGCATGATGAGTACTCTCACTGTAGGTTTTCCAGCTCTAAATTTGCTGACTGAAAAAAAGTTTGGTGCCACAAGTTTTCACAGTATGCTCGTCTTGCACTCTTCAAAGCAGGTCTCATTCTGGTATCTGTGAGCTGGAGGAATCAGGACTTGACTTCCTCACTTATGAGTTTTCCAGCCACCACTGACGATCTCATGTCTGCATTACAGACTGATCCCACCAATAAATACTACATGGTGTTCAGTCAGTGAGTGAATGTCTGTAATTTTTATGCATTTTCTGTGTTGTCTGCTCCTTGTCTCCAGTCCTATGATACCTTCGCTGACCCACCAATTGCTGTTATAGAAGTGGATATTTAAATTCCACATACATAAAAGAATCAAGTGCTCTCTCTGCCAAATACACAAGACATTGCAATCTGAGAAGAGAGGAAAACACAAGGAACTATGGGGTTTTACATTTTAATTCCCATGAAACTTATGGGATACAGACCAAAATATGAAATGGAAAAAAGTGAGGTGGTGGGATGTTGCCCCCAAGCCTTCATCATACTGAGCAGTGTACCAGCACTGCAAAAATATTCGGTAGTGGATTGCATTGATTGGTAGCGTAGGGGGACGCTGTGATGCCTACATTTTTTGTAGGGAACTATGGCTCGATCCAACACAACAATCATATATGATGAGGATTTGCAGTATCTGCATAACACCCCCTACATCAAGAAAGCAATGATGGCTGTTCCATAGCGTCAAAACACTTTACTAGTGGCACAGTTTACTAATGTAGGCTTGGTTTAAGAGAATGGAGAGAATGCTTACATTCAGATAGGTGCTCTTATTCTGAATATGAGTGTCCACACACACAATTAATCAGGACTAACTCCATGCATAAAGAAGTACTTGGATAACAGTGCTTGAAAGAAAGCTATATTTTTTTCTGAATGACAGTATCAAGAAAATGCATGTATTTATGAATTCATTCATTTCCTTCTGTAAGTGTCACTTTAAAAGATCAGTGACTAAAGATAATGATTTTTTCAATGCTTCATGTAAGTGGCTTGTCTAGAGATTTGACCAGGGACCTGAGAACCAGGTCACTTGTATTTTGTATCCAACAATATTATTGTCACTGTTCATGTGAGAGGGGTCATAATGGAACTGGTATAATATGGAGAATGAGTTGCAAGGCTGTTGACAAACCAGCGAGGTATTGATGTCCAGAGCCCAACTGACAGTCTTATTTCTGTGCAAATGTTGAGTTACATATTGATACTCTACTGTGTTCTAATGGCAGTACCTGAGGGTCGCTTGAAAAAAGGGTTGACTATTTTCAGCTCTGAATTTTGCCATGTCACTTTTTTCTCAGTTCAGTTTATTTCCTTATTGATAAATAATTCAAATGCATATTGATTCAGAAAAAAATTGTAAATTATTTACCTAATTTTAGGACCATTACCTAGTATGGCTTTTCATCCCATTTTTGTCAGGACAGTCCTGTTTTAAACATTTGTCCTGGTGTTCTGTTGTTTTGGTCAAATTAACCTTTTTTTTGGTCTTGTTTTCAGCAGGATGCCCAGGACAGATTTTTAAGACGGGACTGTCCTGACAAAAACAGGACCGCCACATACACATGCACACATACACATGCACGCATGCACTCCTGCGCTCTGGTGTGCTCAGCTGAGACTGGAGCTCAGGGACAGCTGAGTGTACTAGGGTAGGGATTGGGGAGGGAAGGAGGCAGTATCCCATTTTGAAACCAGGGAAATATGGTCTGCTCTTTCCACTGCAGTTTCTGAGCTCCTTTTGGCATTTCAAAAATACAGACAGTACTCTCAATCTCCCTCTCTGCGACCAAGAAACAGACTCAGGCCATGTATCAAGCATGAAGTTTTGCTAAACTATGTGTGGTGTCTTGGTGTGTGAAAAAAGTATGCCCCGACTTACACTGTTACGAGTAGGTGCCATTTAAACTGTCAGAAGGGCTGTTTGGCTTGTACAGTTTATGGTAGCAGCTTAATTACCCCAGGCTGCACCTTTCTTAAGAAGACATTGTAAACTAGCCCTTGGTTCTGAACATAGCAAAGGTTCCAAAATCAGAACATTTTCTCAACTTTACATGCATTACTGAGACATATAATGGGTGGTTTTTGTCCGTTTGTTTTAATTGTTTATAGTACTTCCTTATTTGGCGGATAAGCAAAAAGCAGTGGCCCAGTTAAAAATTAATGAAAGTTAATTCCCCAGACACTGGCAAACACATTAGAGAGGAATAGCAGATTTGAGCTCCGGCCTATTAGAATCATTAATCTTAAAAGGCTTGCTCTCTACAGGAAAGTTACAGTAAGTTTCAGGATAGCTGTCACATTTTTGGACCTTTGGATTGTGGGTTTGACATTCCTATTATATACACTAGAATCTAGGAATTAAGAGTGATTAAAAAGTTTACTTTGTGGTATAGCAGTAGTTTTAGCCAAATAAAATACCCCTTGTACATTCCAAGGCATGAATGAGGCCACAAGTATAAAAAGTTTGAGCAAATTATTATACTACTTAACACTTTTATTTTGTGCTTTCTATTAGCCAAGTGCCGTGCCAGTGTTCACTAATCCTCTCAAGACTACGGTGTGGGAGGTAAGTGTTAAAAGCCCTCCTGTACCCTCTGGGAAATAGAGAAGGTAAAGTGATGAGACCACACAGCAAGACTTGAGATGAGTATTCTGGAGGCTCTGGTGGGCTGCCTAATTCACGAAATGGAGTTGTCACTCATCACTTGGGTTTTCCTTATGAAATGGACATCCCTGAAGTTCCCCAAAGTTATTGAAGTACCTACTTCCTACCGGTATAAGGAGTTGGGCACCAAGCATTTGGTAACTGCCACACTTTCTTGGTAATGGCCACTTGCTTGTCATGCAATTGTGAATTTGTGTGTGAGACTTAGGTTACTTCTGTGGAAGCCTGTCCTGGGATCGTTCAGGTGCTCTGTATAGCAGCCCAGACAACTGAGCATCCCCCAGCCAAGTATCCTAATGCCCAAATGTTACAGTGCTGCCTCTGGAGGTATGCTTAAAGCTTCTTGTTCTGAGCAAGAGAGACTGCCTCCATGATGTCCTGAAGTCATGGTGGCAAAAGGGCAGATAAACACAGCAACGTTCCTGTGCAAGCCCGCATGCGGGATGCACACACATCCTCTTCCTGTTGATCCACACGCATCCCAGCCTCCGCACGACCAGCATCCGTCTTGCAGCTTTGCTAAACCCAACCTTCTCCCTGGCTTGTATCAGGGACAGGGAACTGACTCAGAACAAATATTTACAGCTAACTGCAAATCACTGTGGGTTTGGATGCAACACGTCTCGCCACAACATTGCATAACCCCAAACGTCCCCTCTGTGCACTCCTGGCCTGGAGACCTAGTGGGGGGCACCCAGCTCCTCTGGGGGAGTGGGTGGGGGGAAGTTGAGAGGTGTGTCCATTGTGTCCCCCTCAGCAGGGGGACATCAGACACGGGGGGGGGGCAGGACCGTCCCACTCTTCTGCAGTACTGGTCAGGGACTGGGCTTAATTTGTTTAAAGACCTATTACATTCAAACACTGATGCAACACTCCAAAATAAACAAGTTTAAATTGGATGAATCTCTTTAATTTAATGAGAATTAAGCCCTGTGGTGTATACAGGCACTCATAGTCTTTAAACCTATGTAACTGGATTTTGAGCTTGGATTTTTGAATGAAAGAAGGAAAAAAATATTTACTTAATTTGCTCGCATGAAATGTACTAGATGCTGTGTATCCAACAAGGAAGATTTGACTTCTGCCCTGAAGAATGTATAATATTATTTAAAAGAAGAAACAAGAA